AGACACAAAGGGAAGAGAGAGAGAGTGCTCGATTACAGATGAGTTAGCGTGTGTGTGGAACCAGTTTTTGGTTTTGTACGTGACCAATGTGATCAACGATGCCGGTACATGAATTCCGCTGAGTCGTAATAAAAAAATAATAACTTATAGAAATAAATTGAAGCTATTTTAACCTCAATATTCCTGCCAACTGACTAGTTGGTATTCGTGTTTAGTCCAAAGAGAGTGAAATCTTTTAAAGTTTTCATCAAAAAAACTATATTGTCATTTGTATTTTCCAACAATTAAACATTTTAGCTCTATGACATATAGGTGATTCTTTTAACTCTAGCCATCCGATTTCTCTTAAAATAATAATTATGTTAAAGTTATTTTTGGTATTTTATATTTTCATATTTCTTGATTTATTAATTATTAAGTATTTTTTTTTAATTCGTCCCTTATACTTTATAGGAGTATCAAATGTATTTTTTAAATAGCAATGAACATATTTAACTAGCTTTTAAAATAAATAATGACCTAATTAAGAAAATGATTAACATTATTATACTTAGGCGGCAAAATGGAGGGGTACGGCTGATTAATATCTAATGATTAATTTTATCGAACTTTACCCCTAACCTATAAAGACTTTCTGTATTGCCATTTGAATTTTTTAAAAACTCTCAACAATGTGCTTACTACCATACTTAAAACATATTTATTGATAAAGTCATAATTGATAATAAGCGAATAACGAAGTTATAAAAAAACAATTAACTACTTGTATTTGTAATTCCTTGTATATTATACATGTATATTAATTATAAAATTTGATACTTTAAAGTTTTATATTTAAGAAACGAATAAAATGATGTTAAAAATTCAAATTTCATTTACTATTAAAATAAAAACTTATACATTTTTTAAAATTAAACACTATCTAAAGATTTGCATCGAAGCGTTTTTTTTTTGATAGTGATTTTTAATAACTGTCAGATATCATTATACTTGATCCAACTATGCCACGTCATCACTGTGCCGCGACCTCCCTGTGCTGGGTTTTTTTTTTGTATTATTGAATAGTAATAAATTTATCAATTGGTTTTTATACTAAAAAAAACCTTTTAATAGTACTTAATTTTATTCAATTGTAATTCAGAAAAGTTGTAAGATATATTAGATCAAAATTAAGGCTAGAATGATGTATAATTATTAAATTTCGCTGATATAATTAACCATGATGTATTTTTATTATTCTATATTTGCACCCTAGAATTATTAGCTATGTAATAATTTTTAAATCCAACCCTTATGCCTTGTAAATGCATCCCTTGTATGGGTGTAAACATTGTCTTTTCAAATGAAAATATGTGTTATTTTGAATTAATTTAAATGAAGTATTGTTTTAATATTAAATGGCATTTAAATTTTTAACATGACTTTATTCGTTTATTAGATATAAAACATTAAATTTTTAAGTTAATATAAATGTATAATCCATTAAATTTAAATCTAAACAGATTTTCCATTTGGCCGGAACTTTTCTATAGACACATGTAGAATAAAATTTCAGTGAGTGTTATTTTTATTTTCTCACCCTAAAAAATATTTTTATTTAAGAGAACATTGATGAAGATGAACTTAAAAAGTATTACGTAGTTAAAAATTGAAGAATAATGTGTAACTAAAGATAATAAAAAAAAAAAATGTTTAAATTATTATTATTCTGCAAGTAATTCAGTGGGTTATGATAAAAAAATCACCCTGTATATATAGAATGTTCAGTAAGTAAGGGAACGGGTTTCTATTGTTCTCATTGATTGAACAACTGGCTTGTTTTCTTACTTGTTGAACACTCTGTGTATTTATGTATATATATATATATATATACGAATTTGATTTGAGAACAGCCTATAAAAAGTCATATTGATATATGAAAGTTTGTTTTAATTTATGTTACACTTTCAAAACAAATGATGACTTTAATCTTATAATATAAAAATAGCGGGCTGTACATAGTTTGATATATCGAGACAGTTATGTCACTAGTACGCGCTATAAATTTGCAAATGTAAAAAAAAACTGGCTGCACTATGCTAACATTTTCAGAAAGATATGTCGCATGTACGAGTTTTAACATTTGCTATGGAAAAGTCATTTGTTCAATGTATCTTAATTAAATTGATACATTCACAGTATTTTACTATTATTTTATAAGGCTAATGAATTGTGATAATTTTAGAGGTATCTTTAATATAAGAACAGAATTTTTTTTTTTTTAATTCACATGGTCAAATAATTTTTATAACAATTACATTACTACACACTTTTTTTTTTTTTATCTAAACACTAAATTTCTCTTACTTTATAATTTAAGCATTCCATATTTTTTTGTGGGTGAAAATCTAAATAAGTTATGATTAGTCTAAAGTGAAGTGAAATTTATTCCAAAAATCCAGTACATTTAGTTGGATAGGCGCATATAGAGGCTATGGTAATTTACAAAAAATGTAGGATATATCTGTGTTCTTATATAAAAATATTTTTAGTGTGAAAAAATAATAATAACACCGTGTAATGTATTAATTCTAGTTGCGCTAGTTAATTCCAAAAAAAATGGGAACTCATTTAGATTTTAATTTGAAAGCAATTAAATTCACTATTTTAAATAATTTGAATAAGAATGTGCATAAGAAGTTCTCTATTCGTGTTGAACCTAGTTCTAGGACGAATTAAAACTCTTATTTAGTATAGATAATAAGTGTAGTTAGAATAAAGTATCCATTATGACTTTGTTAACAGATATTCTTAAAGTATGATAGTAAGGTATATTGTGGTAATTTTTTAAATACACCAACTGGCTATACAGAAAACACATAAAAAATCAAAAAGCCATTTGTAGTTGAATTATCCGTGTATTATATATGTGTATAAACTCAAAAATTTTTGAATTTAATTTTAATATCTAATAAAAGGATTAAGTTAATTTTCGAGTTATAATAATTACATATTAAAAATTATGAAAAAAAACGAATAAAATTATGTTAAATTTCAAATGCCATTTACTATTAAAATAATTTTTATGATAATAGATCTATCATTTTAGCCTAGTTTATATGATTAAATTTCAAATTTTAAATGTCGGATACTAGATTTTTTGTGTATTATAATAATGAATAGATTCCATTTTCGGGAACTGAATTAAAATTTCCCTAAAGTTAATGTGGTATAAATATTTTTGGGGGGTTGCGGTAAATTAAATCAGGAATTAATATATATCTAACACTACTAAATACTATTTTACGTTAAGTACTAATTTGCGAAATACAATATTAATAACTTAATAATAATTGTAATTATAATAGTTCTATTCTTTTTTATTACAAAATTTAATGGAAATAAAAAGAAAAAAAGCGTATTTATTTCAATATATTTATTATTAACATTAATTATTATTTATTATTACCAAGACTTGAAAGCACTTTTGTAAATATACAATTATCTATGTTTATGCGTTAATGACTTATGATTCAGTCATCGTTATTTCTAAAATCTGTGTAGAAATTTAGCATATAAGAGTTTTTTAAAACATCTGTCCTAAAAAATTTACCTCTATCATTATATAAAATAACATATTAAAAAAGTATATAAATTATTATTAAGATTTACTTTAAAGATAGATTAATGTAAATGTTGTATTAAATATATATTACAAATAATTTTTTTTTTTTACAAACAAGATTATTCTTAAGTCTATAATAAAAGTTATCATAAGATTATATTTAATTTTATATATTTTATTTCATTTTTAATTTCTGTATATAAATAAGGTATTATTTTAGTTGAACAAATGTTTAGTCTTTAATTTAATACTAATAGTAGAGAATAAATTATTAATAGATTTACTTTATAAGTATTAAATTTAAGATAGATTAATGTAAATGTTGTATTAAATATATATTAATAATAATTTGTTTTTACTAACAAGATTAACCTTAAGTATATAATATAAGTTGACGTAAGATACATATATATATATATATAATTTTAATATTGTATTAGATGAAATAATAGTGTTAACCATTATTTTTAAGTAGCTATTTATAAAGTTTTAATTTATAAATAAAGTATAATTCTTAATGTATATATAATTTATTTTTTATTAAATTTCTAAAATTAAATTAGATATTACATTACTTTATGAATGATGTAGTCTTTAATTTAATATTAATACTATGATAATAGATTATGTATAAAATATACTTTTTAGTATTACTATTACGATATATAAATTTAAATGTAATATTAATTACTTTAAATATATATTAAAAAACGGTAGCACAGTG